GGCTTACAAATAAATTAGCAAAACAACAACCCTGATGGCACGAGATGCAGACATAATACAGTTATACATATATTTTGATCTTACAAAATAAAAGAAAGTTGGCTGCATACGAAAACATATAAATAGCAACAAGTCCCTATTATTTATATTTTGCAAGTTTATTCATATTAGTCTTCTTCAAATCTCACATCCTCATTCGCCACATCATTATGACTCAATCAAAAACTAAATCAAAAGTCTCCTCCTGCATTTTCCAGTCTTTAAGTCCATTGTTGTCTGTGTCTAAGAAAATTCCATTATCACCCGATTGACAGTGAGTTCATAGTTATCCAGATCTTTTAATTTGATATTTTTTTATTTTTTATTTAGAGTTGATATTTCAGATGCGATCACGACATTAAATAATAACAAATTGATACCTTCCTTCTCTACACGTATCAACCAGGGTTTACTTCAAACGAGTGGGCGGGGGGTGCGGCATATTACATATATAAAAGACTTAAGTTTCTTGGATAACCATTGTGGGTTATTTAACAAGTGAACAATTGATTTGGTATTATTTTGTCAAAGAATTTTAGCCATTAACAGTCCTTGCTCCATCAACACAAATGATTTGGCCACTTATGTAAGAAGCAGCAGGCAAACACAAGAATGCCGCCAGAGCTGCCACCTCAAGAAACCGCAAAGAAATTTTGGATCAGAACAGGTTTGGAGGCGCAAGAGTCATTTTGGGTGCTGCGTGGTCGACCGTGGCGCAAGGCTGATCAACCGTGGCGCAAGGCCGGTCGACCGCGAACGTGCACAAGCCAGAGTATGAGTTTGGATTTGGTGGTCGACCGATGGCGGTCGACCGCGAGACATTGTAGGCGAATTTGTTCTCTGCCGCTGGATCGTGGTCGACCGTGAGCTTTGAGCGATCGACCGCCAATCGGGTCAGGGTCTGTTTTGTGTTTCTTGTTCTTATTGGATTTTGGTATTTGTATAAATACCAATACATGTTCTAGGGTTTCTTAAGGATAGAGTTTGTGATATTTAGAGCACAAAAAAAAGGTATTTTCTGAGCTATTTGATTAGGGTTTATTTGGAGAGATTAAGAGCTTTGTGGTGAGATTAGTTTATTCATTCGAGTAATTTGTAATCTCAATTTGTAATCTTCTTCTCTATTAGTGAAAACCCCATCTCCATCTTGCCCCGTGGACGTAGGCAATTAGCAAACCACGTTAAAATTGGAGTTTTGAGTTTGTGCATTGATTTTGGTTGGATTTTGCCTACTTTATCGTCGGTTGGTTTGTTTCCTCGACATGGGTTTTACCCAACAATTGGTATCAGAGCACGGGCTATGCTTGGGCTATTTGGAGGAGTAGATCGATTTGGGACGCTCGTCTAGGGTTTGAGTTAGTGAGAAATGTGAGATTTTTTTGGTATAGCTTCTTTGTTTTCTCAGTTTTGGATCTATTCTTCGTTTGTTTCCACATTGGTTGTTGGTGTGTTGAGAATTATGGCCGAGAAAGAAGGTGTTGAGGGTGGTTCTTCTGGTGTGAAGACTATCCAAAGTTTGAATATCCACTCGATGAAGATTGACGTGGAGAAGTTCAATGGCACTAACAACTTTGGACTTTGACGATGCGAAGTCTTGGATGCGCTCAATGTGCAGAATTTGGAAGATACGTTTGAGTTGGATGGGAAACCGGATGACATTGATGAGAAGGTTTGGAAGAAAATGAATCGAACTGCGTGTGGTGTGATTAGGTCTTGTCTCACTCAAGATCTAAAATATGATGTGATGAATGAGACTTCGGCTAAGAAGATTTGAGAAGTCCTAGAGAGCAAGTACTTGATNNGTCGAAAATCGCTTGTATTTGAAGAGGATGCTTTATCACTTCCAATTGAAGAAGGAGACAACCATTGGTGATCACATGAACCACTACACGAAGCTTCTTGCAGATTTGGCGAACGTAGATGTTATTGTTGAAGATGAGGACAAGGTGTTGCTATTGTTTAGTTTATTGCCCGACGAGGAATATAAGACCTTCGTCCTTACTCTTATTAATATGAATGCATCTCTTTCATATAGTGAGGTCACCGCTGCACTTGTGAATTACCAACTTAGGAAGAAGGATAAAGAGACTTCTATTGAGCCGGTAGCGGGACATTGGTTGCAAGAGCAAAGAGTCTAACCGAGGTAGAAGGTCACAGTCTAGAGGGGCACATTTTAGAATTCATAAGAATCAATATGCTTTTTATAAAGAAGATGGACATTGGAAAGCCGAATGCCCAAAATTGAATGATCTAGCCGGGAAGAATAAGGGGAAAGTAATTGAAGCTTCAGAGGTGAATGTTTGCAAAGGCTTGTGGAGATATTTCAGATTCAGATTCTTCGGGTTATTCGTGCCCAGCACTTCCGTCAGTTTGTGTTGCTGACTCCACTGAGTGGATGTTGGATTCGGGTGCCTCATACCATATTTGTCCTAGGAGGGATTGGTTCTCCAGCTTTCAGGAGTTAGAAAGAGGGGATGTTGTGCTCATGGGTAATGATCACAAATACCCTATTGATGGTATCGGTATCGTTCGTATTCGGATGAGTAACATGGTGATTCGGGAGTTGGTTGAAGTATGGTTCATTCCTCAATTGAAGAAGAATATTATTTCACTTGGAGTTTTGGAGGCAGCAGACTATAAGGTGATCTTGGCAGATACACGTTTGAAGGTTACATTTGGGTCCATGATTGTGATGAAGGGCGTCAAAAGCAGTAACTTATACTATTTACTTGGGAGCATGGTGATTGATAGAGCGCCGATGACTTCATTGGATTTGGCTAGACTGTGGTGTTGTTTGACGCTGGGGTATTTGATTGGCGATGCCGTGCATAGGTTGTTGAAGAGTGCGTTGATCTGCAAATGGAAGTCCTTTGAGCACATTAGGATGAGCGAGAAGACCGTGGTGGAGCTTGGCACTTCTATCCATCGTTCGAGGGGTCTTTTAGGAGGTGTTCAGTCAGGTATTTGGGGCCTTCTAAGGAGGCATCGTTGGGAGGTAATCGTTTTTTGGTTGCTGTAGTTGGGGATTGTACTAGGTATTTATAGGTTGCAACCAAGCCCTGTTGGTTTGAAGTCCTAGTAGTCCATAATAATTGAAAGAAGTATATTGGCAGAAAGGTAACCCGTAGTTCTAGCTTTGGTAGGGGTCCTTTCTTGCATTTGTGCCTAGCTCATGGCAGTTGGAGACACTTCATTGGAGAGGAGATATTGAGGCGACGATATGAGATGGCAGATTTGGTGAGTTTTTCCTTTCTGGAGGAGGATCGGTGTTGGTTGTCGAGCATTGGATTTAGTATTCGGGCTTCGACATGTTTGGTTCATCTTATGCATAGGTTGCCGACTGCTACGTTTGGAGATTTTGTATCTGGTGGAGCTGCTTCAGATTTTGGTTGGCGTCGGATATTTGGTTACCTAGCACTTGGTCACATCGAGGATGTGAAATTTGATCCAATTGCGTGTTTGGGATTCAGAGGCTCGTTTGGCTATCATTTGGGAGCTTCTGATTTCGTTCTGAGCAAGTATGTCACATTGGACTCTCGGCAGGTGGAGAGTGTTGATCAGATCAGTTGGATATTACAACGAGTGGAGGGTGATGCTACTCCAAATTGGGTGGATATTACTCCACATACTCCAGGTCATTCTGTATTATTTGGGACTTCAGCTGAGGTGACACAGCATGGGGGTCATTCGGTTTCAGATGCAGATGACGCGTTGATTGTTTTTAGTGCAGCTGATAGGCATAGTTTGGACATGACCATTGGTTCACCTCAGGCAAAGGTATTTGGATCGTTTCAGTTTGAGGCCATTGGAGGTGCTATCAGTCGTAAATTTGGTAATGATGGAGGAGGGTTGCGTGCTCTTCTATTGGATTGAGGGCCTTTGGAGGCCATTGGATGAACTACGTGAAGGCTTGATTCCTTGGGCAAGAGGATACGTAGACAGTCAGTTTTGATACAGCCGATTTGGTGAGTAGATACCGATGTTTAGGAGAGTGTTCGCACTTCCGTTTGGGTCTCGACTTGTTATGGATTGAGTCTGTTATCGTGAATCGTTTCACGGCGTACTGGACGCAACAAGTGGGACATTTGGTTTGGTTGGTGTCGGCTCAGTTTTGGAAGAAACTTCACCGAGGTGGAGAATTGAAGAAATCGCGAAGAAATTTTTTATCAGAACAGGTTGGAGGCGCAGGAGTCATTTTGGGTGCTGCGCGGTCGACCGCGGCGCAAGGCCGGTCAACCGCGAACGTGCACAAGCCAGAGTAGGAGTTTGGATTTGGTGCGGTCGACCATCGCGGTCGACCGCGAGACCCTGTAGGCGAATTTGGTCTCTGTCGCTAGATCGCGATCGACCGCGAGCTTTGGGCGGTCGACCACCAATCGGGTCAGGGCCTGTTTTGTGTTTCCTGTTCTTGTTGGGTTTTGGTGTTTGTATAAATACCAATACACATTCTAGGGTTTCTTAAGGCTAGAGTTTGGAATATTTGAAGCACAAAAAAGAGGTATTTTCTGAGCTATTTGATTAGGGTTTATTTGGAGAGATTAAGAGCTTTGTGATGAGATTAGTTTGTTCATTCGAGTGATTTGTAATATCAATTTGTACTCTTCTTCTCTATATGTATAATACGGTTATACATATATTTTGATCTTACAAAATAAAAGAAAGTTGGCTGCATACGAAAACATATAAATAGCAACAAGTCCCTATTATTTATATTTTGCAAGTTTATTCATATTAGTCTTCTTCAAATCTCACATCCTCATTCGCCACATCATTATGACTCAATCAAAAACTACATCAAAAGTCTCCTCCTGCATTTTTCAGCCTTTAAGTCCATTGTTGTCTGTTTCTAAGAAAATTCCATTATCACCCGATTGACAGTGAGTTCATAGTTATCCAGATCTTTTAATTTGGTATTTTTTTATTTTTTATTTAGAGTTGATATTTCAGATGCGAGCACGACATTAAATAATAACAAATTGATACCTTCCTTCTCTACATGCATCACAACCAGGGTTTACTTCAAACGAGTGAGCGGGGGGTGCAGCATATTACATATATAAAAGATTTAAGTTTCTTGGATAACCATTGTGGGTTATTTAACAAGTGAACAATAGATTTGGTATTATTTTGTCAAAGAATTTTAGTCATTAACAGTCCTTGCTCCATCAACACAAATGATTTGGCCACTTATGTAAGAAGCAGCAGGCAAACACAAGAATGCCGCCAGAGCTGCCACCTCTTCTGGTTCTCCATTGCGTCCAAGTGGAGTTCTTGATGCTTCTCTAGATTTGAAATCTGGAGCCTGACATAAAAGTACCAAAATACTGCTTTTTAGTAGTTGAGAGGATCCGAATCCATAAATAAAATGATAAGCTTCACATAAAACTCGCATTAGGAAAATTCTAGAAAAATGGCCTCAATTATTAACGTTGAAGTAAAGTTAGAAAATATCTTAGCATCATTAACCGAACATATAAAATTAGTAATATAACACTTGTTATATCTTGGGGAAAAAAAGAGGATAATAAGGGAAAACTAGTTACATGCAACAGTTAGAAGCAAAAAAATCCCAAAAGTAGTTACATGCAACAGTTAGAAGCGAAAAAATCCCAAAAGCCATGTGATAACTTTCTCTAGTTAATGATGATTAAGTACTGTAATTAATTGAGGGAAGAGAAATTTGCGATAGCTATCATTCAAACAGCTAGCTAAAAAGCCTAAGTAGTTTATCCCTAGCAATTAGAAGTCAGTCTCCAATGATTATATACTCTTTTCTCTCCTGAAAGAAAAAGACCTCCATTAGTTCGTGCATTTGCCACTAGAAAAATACCCACCATATTATGTCCACACAAAAGGTTAAAATGGGGGGAAAAAGGAAAAAATAAAAGATAAAAAGTAAAAAAATAAATTATGAGCTCACGTTTTCTACTAGTGGCGTATTAATGACTCCCGGGCAAATACCATTGGTTCTAATATTATCTTTGGCCCATTCACACGCCAAACACTTGGTAAGCTGAACTACTGCCCCTGATCAATTATAAGAGAAGCGTAATTAATCAGCATCAGTTCACTAAAATTAACGCACCATTTCACGAATTAATTTCTTCTTAAATCTACGTG